CAGGCGAAATCGTAACGATCGCTGATTCTGTTGTCTTATTTATCCAGTATTATTAGATCAGAAGAACGAATTCGATTAATAACAACGGCTTATTTCGAATTATGTTTATCGAATCGAAGATGTCCGCATACACATTTTTGCACCTATATATTTTTCTCCTGTAGTTACTGGATTAATAGAATAGATACTATCAATTGCGTGTTGTTTGCATAGGATCAGTAAATTTTGTCTGGCAAGAGGGATTCTGATCTTACAGCTCAGCCTTGAGGAAGGCTTCGTTTTTTATTCCACGTACATATATTGAAATTTCTGTTCTTAAGGTATGATTGGAGTAATAATATTGATTTAGGAGAATGAATTTCATTACATATAAGATGATTATTGTGTATAGATATTGAACAGATAAGAACAAAGTCGAGCAAAATAAATAATAATCGAATTGGGAGTACTTACTGGCCTTTTAATATTTTTCATGCTATATAATTTGGATACTTATGCAGTAGGAATAGCTGTAGACCTGATATGCGTGACTTTGTAATGTTAATTTAATAGTAAACACCACTGCGCATAATATTTTCACGTCTACAGCTATTACTACCGCACTGTACCTACCCAAAAAAATTACCATCACACAAAGTGTATTTTAATTAACTCTAAACGTCTGAAAATATACTAGAAGTGTTTTAGACAATAAATTAAATCGATGAATAATAATTATTATCGGTTGTATAGAGCGGCGCGTTCGAATATATACGGTTTTATACGCATAGGGCGAGGGCGGTTCCGACCCTGGACATCCATCTGTGACGCCGAGCTTAGCAAGAGACCAAAAGCAAGCAAGAGCGAGTAAAGTTAAGGGGGTAGCGCGGGGAGAAAGGAAATGTAAAGTAGGCTGGTGGACCTGGGTCCAGCGAGGCTGCCCTGAGGTATTGATCTAGAGGCCTAGGAAGGGTGTGAGTGTGTGTGTGCTGACACGCATTCTCACCCCCTCGCACTGCCCCCCTTCAGGTCTTACCGGACTCGTATGTAACACTATCTCATTGTCTCATAGTGTTTTGGTGGAGGAGCCGGTGGCATTTACCTTGGAGATTAAAAACGGTCGCGGAGGGAAACTTCATCGTGCACAGAGAGGATGGGAGTTTGTTGTTAGGCACGAAGTTTCAGGGATGGTCACGGTAGATACCTATATATTACAGAGATGGCGAAAGTTGGCTATATTTCGATAATTCGGTTAGAATTTCCTCCTTAATAAAGTTACCGGCTTTAGAAGATCTAATATTAATTTACATGCATAATTTAGAGTTTTTGGACAAATATAAATTGACTTTGTGAATAATTGGGCGATTGATTAATGTTGGAATTTGATAAAGAGAAAGACGTATTCACGAATAAATTTATTAGATATGTTTTCTCTAGAGCAGAAATTTTATAGATTTTTAAAAAGTAACTAAATAATAGTTGCTTCAATTTACACATGAAATAAATTAGTTTGTAGTAAATATTTAATTGAAATTGTAGATAATAGAAATGGGAAAAAATCAATTTTTAAATCTAATTGGTATTTATAGTACCTAATTAATTTTGTTTGCAAATTAACCATTTATTAAATTATACTTACGATTAAATGAATCTTTGAATCATGCTTTTTGATATGAAAAGGAAGCAAATAAAGGAAAAATCAATTTATCTTTTATAGAAACCCTTTTTTATATGCAAATTTTGGCGGATGCTCCGTAAAATTTCACCAAATTAATCAATTATTATATGGTATCATTAAGTAGATATTATGGTAAAAATAGACTTTATTTCTTAAATATTATATAACAATGCCTTTAATTTAAATCATAATAAATATTTGATTGAATTTTAAAACAAAGACACCTCCAACTTCAAAGGTTAAAATTATTAAAACTATTAAAATTCGTTTAATGAAACAATTTTTCAGTGCATTTTTTGCAATTTTAAGATGCTAAACATTCAAATTCTTATGTTATCCTCGATTTTCTGCTCTTAACTTTATTTTTGTGAGTACATTTCAACTCTACCTACATGTTTTAAGTTACCTACATAACAAAAAATGGCAAAATTAGTCTTTTTAAACGAACCGAGTCTATTCGTATGGCAACCTTTATCTCCGCATAACTCCTCATAAAATCGAGATTGGAGGCGAGAACAATTTTTCCACATAATGCGAAGTTATTAATATGACTGCGTCTAGTTCGTATCCAGATTTCGACTTTGCCAATATCGCATCGTCTTTAGCGTCTCCACGGACCGAATAATCGTGTTTAGTATGTGAAATGCGTAAGACGCCCTAGGCGCCCATTTGCTTTTCCCTGTCCACCCTGCCCGCCTCGCTCTCCAACACCGCGCTCTTACCACCGGCTTAATAATGGCTATATTGTATCATCTTCGATAGAGATGGACAAGTGAAGTTGCCGAATTCTTTTCCCGTAGGCCCTGTAAAAGGGTGCAAAAAAACGGAACATAGTTTCCTATAATAATTTTTTGCAAAAATATGTGTTTTCCATTTGTGCATGCTAAATTAGATAGTACTGGATAGGTAGGTACAGTTAGGTAAGAAGAACTGTGCGTAGAGAAAAGTAGAGAAATTTTGCTGTGTTGCCACATTTCGATTTTTTCCTCCACTCCCAGAACTTCGATATCAACATTTTAAGGAAATAAAGTAGGTGCTTCTTAGGACCAAAATTTGGTCAAAAAATGTTTGTAAATCCCAATTTATATTGGTTAACACAACTAGCCGCGTTGATTACAAAAGTGTCATTAACGTGTAGGGTTCCATGGTCATTATGAAATTCTTCTACACTTCCATCCTGTCCTTTTTTTTTCGAGAAACAAACACATTAAACCATGACATGTAATGGATGAGTAGTAATCCGAAATCGTCTATCTCGTTCGAGGTAAATGCACCTTTGTCCTTGCAATTCTTAAACTGCATGTTTGCATTCAAATTTAAGTTCGACTTACGTCATGGTATTTTGGTTCTCGAACGAGCATCGAGCGATTCGTGTTTTATTTTTGTAATTTTAATTTCGCGTTTATTGTCCGTCGAACTGGTAATTTCGCGTCTGTGCAATCAACGACCGATGTTATTGTTCTGATTTGCAGTTACTGGCCGATACACTCGGTTAGTAAATCAAACAGATTCATTGCAGTGTAAATTTTACAGAGTATTATTCCTGACGTTGTCGGTAATATCTAAGAGACTCAAATACCTGCACCTTCTCTTAGGTTATTATAATTATTAATGATTCTAGGTATTAAATCTTCGAATCAAATTTATTACTCTTCTCGTTTATGAAGTAAAATTTTCCACCTACGATTTTTTGCAACATTTTGACCTTCAGCCTGCTCATAATTTATCTAGGTTAATACGTAATTGCAGATCTAGGTGTAGGTAATGGAAAAGAATGATAGCAAGCATAAGGTAAAGGTAGACAAATTGAAATGATTATGTGCAAAGTCAAGGTGAGAGAGTTCGCCTTTTCGGCGCTGGATAAACTCTTGTGAACTTATTTTGGCAACTTTTATTTTTTATTTTGGCCAGACTGTCTGCATGCATTAATTGCATCCTCGAGGCATCTCGAATTCGGTTGTTGCTCTCTCTCCCACTCTCTTGTTCGCTTTTCAAGGTCTAGTTCTGCCACTGTCTAATTGCATTTTGTTACTTTTCTACACAACACGCTGATTATTAGGTATGCATCATATGTTATCGGGTGATTATTTATAATTACGACGTTCCATTTTCAAAAATTATTGTACCTATTCCTTTTTTTTGTCAGGTAATAATCACGACTTGTTTGGGTAATATCGAGATAAAAATTCCATTATTTTTATTGTAAAATAAAGGCACGATAAAAGGAAACAAAAATATGTTTAATGACAAAAGATTAAATTGTTTTATATTTGAAGTATTATTGTTCCTTGTTCGTTTAAGCTATATTAGGTTAATTGAAATATTGTACAGTATTTTAAATTGCTATAGTTTTTATTAACTATTAAATATGTTTAAATTTGTACACCAGTGAATATTAAAATATTGCTCATTTGATAATTTAGAGAATTTATAGAAATATTTACATTCTAATTAAAAATAAGTAAAGTATTTTATTCACCTCAGTCCTTTTGTAATTTGTTCGATTTTTATATAATAGAGTAATTTGTGCAAAATTATGTATAATTATTAAATGAAATAAAATAGAAGCATGGAAAAATATTTTATGACAATCAAGTCAACTGTAGAGATTTTCTCAAAATATTCCAAATTTTAACATAATTTTTAATACATATTTATTATATTCCCTATTGTTTTTTTAGTGGAATAATATGTACGCAAAAATTGAGTAATATTTTAGGTTTATAAAAATATTTTTTTCATCATTTTATGTTTATACCGCAAGAAGATTATATTTCAATTTTCATTTGCTTTTTATTTTGGAAATTATTTGACAGAAATAAATAATTTGGGTATTTTTTTGTAGAATATTTAATATAAATTAGTGAAATATATACTGGCATCCAGAGTATCCCTCAAATATGAAATAAAACATATCGAAATAAGAAAAATTATGGTAATAAAAAGTTTGGACTTTCTCAACTTTGTTTCCTCGAACTTTTATCTCACGATGAAGAAGTAGAAGAACAAAAAAAAAAGAGGAAAAATAATCAACACAAAATCTAGATACATAGGTGTATAATTTCTAAAATATAATTTGATATAGAAGCGTAGATGACTTAGTTTCCTTACCTAGAGAGAAGAGAAGAGAAGAGAAGCGAAACTCCGGTATAAGCATTATAACCGATAACCGAATGTATGTTCAAAAATGCAGCATCTTACCCCCTACTACCCTAAACGCATTAAATGCGGACACGCCATTGGCCGAGAATCCATCGGCCGGCCTATGCAAACTCGCAAAACTTCACGCATCGCACGGCAACTTGGACCACCAAATTCGTCAAGAACACCGGCCGCCAACAGTATTCACTTGAATTTGGCAGAGTTAACACGTCGGTCTACAGGTTTATCAGTGATATTACGGCATTCAAGTGACAAAACTCAGTGTGTGTTTACTCCAGAAAGTTAACCTAATCATGAAAACGTGCGTTTTAGTATTGTGTATGGACCGTTGTAAAAACACTTAATTATGGGCTAAACAGACTTTGAAGGTGGTTTTATTTGTTTTTTAAGTTTCTCTTTTATTTATTATTTTTCGATCGAGTGATGCAAAGTAAAAATCATTGTGCTTTTTCTTATTATCTCGACAATGTTATACCACCGGGACTGAAAACTTTTGAAATGTTATGATATTCAAGAAGTGACTGTTGTATTTTTTGTTTTTGAACTTTTTTGTGTTTATTACTATTAACTGTTTCGAAGTGCAATGGCTAGCAGTAGTGGCGTGCAACAGTTTATGCAACCAACGAACAGTCCGTATCATTGCAAAGAATGCGGTATTTCGCTGAATTCGGCAGAATCATTGGATGTTCATCTGCAATATCATAAAGAAAATTTACTGAAGCATTGGGCTATACAGGCAGCTTCCTCGCATTCTGAAGAAACCAATAACAACAACACTAAGGCAAATATTAAACGTGAGTTAATTTCAAATAATACTGTAGCTCCTGCTGATAGTTCTGATTCGATGCAAAAAAAGAGTCCTGAATACAGCAGGACTACGCCAGAATCGGTTTTTGGTCACCCGCCGACACCGCAGAGTTATCAGAGCGCATCATCTCCGTATCAAAATCAAGAGAATTCTACTTTTTCTCCAAATTTTCCTAATTATCAGGTGAAAACCGAACGCAATTCTCCTACTCCCCAGCAGCAGCAGCAGCAGCAGCAGCAACAACAGCAGCAGCACCAATATCAAAGTAATTACCCTAATTATTCAGAACAGCAATATTTTCCTATGGAATCCAATCAAGGGCAGCAATTCAATCAGGAAGCATTCGTCCACAAATCTTCCGCATACAGGTATCACCCCTATAACCAGTCTCAAAACAACCCCTATGACCGGCAGTCGCAGGCACAGGTGTCATCGTCAAGCCCTGCGTATCCACCGCAGCCGACCCCGTCTCCTAGTCCTAAACAATGCGAGAAGTGTGGTTATGTATGCGAGTCGGCCGCACAATTAATCGACCATCTTAATATTGCTCACCCTACCCAACCTGCCTCGCATCTCGTTCCATATCAGTCGAATCAGCACTTTATGTTTGAACAACATCCGGCCGTCAAACAGGAAGATTCGACTCAAAGTGAAATTCTAGACCTCGATTCTCACAAAGTCGTTCACAACGTTTTTCCTGAAGATGAAAAGCGCCAAAACGGCGATCCGAATCCGCATTCGGTATCGGCTATGTTGAATTCTTGGCCGCCGTCTCAGCAGAAATTATTCCCGCAACAAGATCAGAGAATGTTTGCGAACGCTGATCCAAAAATGTATCCACAAAACATTCCAGAAGACATTCCAGAAACGAAGATGTTTCATCCCGATCAGAAGCTTTTCCAGCCTCATCAGTTGCACAATCAGGAATTTATGAGTAACGGCGTTACCACCACGACGCAAGAAAACAGTATCGCGCAATCGCCTCATTCCTACCGCTCTTTCGAGCATATGACGTCGCCTCCAAGTGCTCCGGTCATATCCAGTACACAAGTTCCTACGAATCCGGTTCCTCCGCCTGTTCCTGTAAAAGGATCGAACTGGAAATCGAACGAAGCCCGAAGACCGAAAACGTATAATTGTACCGCTTGCAACAAGTGGTTCACGAGTTCAGGGCATCTAAAGAGACATTATAATACAACTCTTCATAAAAACGCAGTAAAATCCAGCGGACAACCCGACCCGGCGAGTTTACCAATCAGTGCTCACCATCACCCGGCTAGAGATTCGTCGTCCAAACAAGATGACCGTTCGCAGTCCGGCAGTTCCGGTGACGAAGTGCGCAGCGACGATAATTCCAGCATATCGCAATACGATAGACTCAGTTCTCTGCAAGGTTTAAACGGACCTTACGATAGACAACCACCGCCATCTATCCACCACACTCCTCCACTTCATTCCCCCATGTCGCATTCTCCCATGCCGCACTCTCCTATGGCCCAACATCCTAGTCCTTTAGGGAACAATTTAGTAAATCCAAATTTGTCGAACGGAAGTTCCCCAAACGGGGAAGCAGGCCTCTCAACCACCAGCATAGATTCGAGGGGCCTGCTATCGCTGAGTTCGCCCCCGATCAATACGGGCAGTACCCCCCATGGGTTCAATATGCCGGCCCAGCATATGATGTCAATGGAGAACAGCCAATTTCAGATGTACCCAAACGAGTTGGCCCCCCACGTTACGCAGGTTATGGCTATCAGCAACCTCAGTACTACTGGTGAATACCAATACGATCACCAGAGCACTGTGACTGAAGAAAATCAGCCATTGCCGAGTTTTGCGCAGATCCAAGCGCTCAGATTCAACGTTCTTGGTTATGATTCAGCGAACGTGGGGGGCAGGGGTTCGGTAACGGCCCCTTATACTTATTTCACCGAATCGGTTGTTCCGGAAATGAAGACTGTGATGTATCACACCGACAACGTCAGCAAGTTGACCGTACTTACCGCTGTCGAACCGCCTCCACCAGATCAGTACATTCTCGGCTATTCGTCGCCTGATCGTCACCACGAAGAAGATCTCAGCATGATTTCCATGACGTCCGAGAACGAAACGAAAATAATGGAAGAAAATAAAATGCAAATAATGGACGACATCAAGTTGAGATTAGAAGCTCAACCCAAATCTCCAGAAAAGGCGCACATTAAGCGAGATTACGAGGAAAACACCGGCATCCCTTTGATTACTTCCACGAGTAAACCAGGCTTGCACAAATGTTACGATTGTGATAAGATCTTCAATAAGGCTTGTTACCTTACTCAACACAACAAAACATTCCACAGCGGAGATAAACCGTTCAAATGCACTAGGTGCGGTAAGAGGTTTTCATGCGAGGTCACATATCAAGAGCACCTGTCGAAACATGCTGGAGAGAAACCTCACAAATGTGATCTGTGTCCCAAGCAGTTCAATCACAAAACGGACTTGAGGAGACACATGTGCTTGCATACGGGCCAGAAACCCTATGCTTGCGATACTTGCGGTAAAGGTTTCATTCGCAAAGACCACATGATGAAGCATTGCGAAACCCACATCAGGAAAACACAGTCCAAGGTAGCGGCGATTCGTTGAACAGCACTTTGTACGTAGAAATTAATTGTTTTGTCATTTGGCACTTTTCTACTTAAATGTGAACTCTATTTAAAGAATATTTTATTATATTTGTAAATATTTATTTCCTATACTTAACGTTTCTTTTTTGAAGATGAACAGAATGCGACAAAACAGAGTAATAATTCATATAAAAGAGATGATTGCTCAATTTTATTTTATAGTGTCCGATAATAATCAATACTCAAAACAGCAATACCTCAGAATCTCAGTTATTAAATATAGATATAAAATATTTATATCAGATTTTTATTATTAAAGATATCTTGTGGATGTACAAACTCTAGATACAGGTTATAAGATATGTATAAAAATTAAATTAGAGCATCACGTTTTATTTTTCTATTGGTGGTTCAACTTTCATCAATTGAAAAATAATTGATCTATTTACAGGGTGAGATTTATTTTGAAGTGATTTTATTTAATTAGTGCGGTTGTTTTCTATTATTTAATTTATTCATTTAATATTATTTTTATAATTATTAACCATTGAATATAGTTTTTTTAATTTTACATTAATAATTTTTTATTTTAAATAGCCGCACTAAATATAATTTTATTTAAATGCAGGAAATTTATGTTAAATTGGTTTATTATTTATTCTATATTATACTTTTTATGATATAAAAACTTACCTTGTTCATCGGAATCAAGATATTTTTCCAAAAAATTTAATACGATTTAGATTATTAAATTTAATTAATTTCCACATTCAAAAATTGCCATCAATTGAATAAAGTACAAATTTAAAATAAATAATTTCGATGAATGAGGTTTTTAGGAATAACAGGGTGTTCAAACAATGCATTTTGCTATCTCTTTTACTACGCACTTACTCAATTTTTTTGTATCATAAAAAGTAATTTTGACGAAAGTTTCAATAATGAATTTCATTCTGTATACACTTAAAAGTAATAATACGCAATAATGTTAACAACGCAAGTTTTTGATATTTGTTTCATTTTCTATAAGATGTAATAAAGTCGTGAGTAACTGTGTACATATTTTACCGATAATGTTACGTGATATTTTATTTTCCATGACAAATCTACCTCAGTTTTTGATGAATTTTATGTGCCAATTATAAATTTAAGTTTCCAGCCCGCTGTGGGCATCCCTTTAGACAAGTTATGTGCCAAATATTTCAGGCTAGATATTGTTGTATTTTTTATAAAAATATGTCGATTTTTTGCAGTTGGACATATAGGATACGAAACGTTGCAAATTCTTTTTTGATTTTTCTAAAGGTAAAATTCGAATTTTAAGACTTTCATGTATTTCACGATAATGTAATAAGTTTTGAGCTCGATCCACCTGCGTTTGCGAATATTAAATTTGAATCGAATTTAAAGCGTTTCGTTAATTTAGTGCAATTTATATAATTTTAACATCACTTGAAAGTTGTTTTGCGTTAAAACAAGTTACCAAATGTTTGTCTACAGAGTTATCAAGTTAATTTTATCTATTCTTTGCTAAAACGAGTTAATTTTTGACATTATAGGGTGAATATTTAGTTAATCGAATATCCGTTCAGTTTACAATTTTTTTTTTTCATATATTTATTTAGAAATAATTTTTTCGCTTTCTTGTCGAAGCACAGAATAAACAATTTTATCTTACTTTATCAAAAATAACCGTTTACATTCGTGTCAATGCCGATAACGATAACGACTAATTTCCAATATACCGGAATGAGGATAATTTCTACGAAAAATTTTGTGTAATAAAATAAATGTACCTGAAATTTCGTAAAAAAATTTGGTAGTAGCAAAGAAAAATATTATTAACTAGCTGACTTTGTGATAATTGTTTTGTTATGTTGATGATTGAATATTTGTGGGTGTGATTTTAAATGTTATGTTCAGAATATTGGACAATTTTTGCTGTGGTTCTTGGCCTTTTGTCATGTTTTATTTATATGCATATAGTCAAGAAAAATGAAAAAAATTGCATAACATTATGTATTATTTGTTTAAGACTGATTATATGTAGTACTTTGTTTGAAGATTTTTAAACCCTGTAAATTGTTCTGGATACGTTACAGCTGTTTAGATTTTAAGTTTTGAAAATGTTCTGTTATTCTTACCATTGACTCAAAAATAAATATAGATACTTATTATACATTATTATTTCCTTATTTTTTATGATCCTCTCGATTTTTACATTTTATTTACGAATTCAAAAGATTTAAACAAAAAAATAATTTGGAGTAACGTAATTTCTAATTTTAATGACCAGTGAGGTTTCTGGTAAGAGAATAATTAAAAAAAAATAAATGTTTATGTGTAGGTAAGTACAAAAATTGAAAATCTTTAAAAGTAATATCGTACTTCAATATGAGAGTAAGGAAATTAAAGAAGTTTTACATAATTCCACTTCTGAAGAAGTTTCATCGAATAAGGTAAGTGATTAAATTATTTTTAATCAGTTTTTAAGTAGATAGAAAGCCTATTACTTTTTATAATATTTTTGTTAGTGTCTATTTTTCATTTTTTTATTTTTATAAATACAAAATAGTTTAGTATCACATTTTTTCAAAGGAAAATTTTACAAAGTTCTAGTTATTGAATTGTAATGCAATTTCCTCTTATAATTTTCTGTTTCATTCGATTTAATATCTTTGGAATAAATTTAACTTCCTACTTACTAGACTGTTTAGAATTTATACAATTCCTAATCTTTGCATTCATTCATTCTTTGAATTGAATTATTCTTAATAATTTCTAAATTTTGTAAGAAATATTGTACTTAAATATTAAGCAGGAAATACCCATTTTAATACCTAATGTACGTATTTGTTTGATTTAATAAATGGCGTTTTGGTTCTTATTAATGAGGTTTAAATTATTTATCAAATTATCATTAACGTTATCAGACGGACTTATTATTGATAGACTCGAGTTGATTGATCCATCTTATTTCAATACTAAAATCCCAAGATTTACGTAATTATCTAAGTATTTACTACATTCAGAAAAGAGGATCAGAAAACGTTTTATTCAAAGTTCCACTAACGTTGAAAACTATAGGAATAAAAATTAGATTACGAATATTTGCCGGCTCTTCAAGTTCACATTATAGAGCACAAAAGCATCGCTAAATACTCAACCAACTGTTTTTTCCTAAGAATGGGTATTCAGTACCCACCTGGATATTAGGTGATTTAATGCGATGAAAACCAGTGGTGTCCTGAAAGTTAGCAATGAAAAAACACCCATGAGAACGATCAAAATCAACCATCAAGCAAACCTAACGCAGAGTTTCACAGCCCTTAAATATGGTGTAAGTTTAACACGAGATTCATCATCGAGCTATTGTCAATAAGAGAATGTGTAAATAGCGATTCATTTTTCGCGATAAATTCACATCGCACTGCACTGATATGTTGACAGAATTCTTCATACAGAGAGAAAGAAATAAGTCCCTCTCCCACGACTAGTTGTCTCGATTCAATATCTTTTGAAATCGGATATAATGCATTTTGATTTGTGTCTGCAGATAAAGAGGCCATTGTGAGCATTCTGTCGGTGTCGGATGAATGTCCAGGATGTTTTTCTAACTTTAATTGATTTTCTTGTGCGGATAATTTAAAAAGTTTATTCGGCCAAATCGCTAAACAGTTCTTTTTCACCCGGTGAAGGATTCGCGTTTTCTGGCGAATTTCGCGCGCGATTCTGCTTCGATATTTTCAAAAGCAGATTAATTAATGTCGATGTTTAATGAATGCTCGCAATGCGAAAGGGGCGGTTTATTAAAAATCTTAAAGGATGTCTAATTTGGAATCATTTTATTAATTTAATTTGTAATAAAATTTCTTCTTTGTCGAATGCTCTCTGTTCCAAAAATATAGGAACATGTAAGGAATAATTCGGGCTAATTAGCAGTTTAATGATGAATAAGTGGTTAATTGTTATGATGTAAATGAATCTAATGAAGATAATTAATGAGTTGAGATAGATAAGATATAGGCGAACATATTGTAACATTAGGTAATCATTTTTTAAGTAAAGGGGACAATCGGAAATTGAAATTTTAATTTCCTCATTAAATTCTTCCCTCCTGAAGAGATATGTACTAGTATTGCATAGACACCTAATAGAAGGACAATAGACGAATTTTCGTTATCATTTTCGAAACTTTTTCACTCGATTTTCCCAAAAAAAGGGCAGACCTTGCAAAAACTAGCGAGTGAACGTGCCGATGTGTTCGAGCGGTTAATTTTAATGAAACTTATGCAGCTTGTTCTCGAATTTGTTCGAAACATTTTAGAGAGATACCCAATGATTAAATAAGCGGAATTCAACCATTCGTATGCAGGTATACTCCAAAAATAGTTGCTTTATTATATTGAACAACGCAGATATGAAATGAAAATATTTTTTCAGCTTTTAGTGCTATGTGAAATTGTATTGGTAGTATACAGAGTTAGCAAATCAAGTAAGTACCCAGATTAATTAATTAATTATCATACACTTTGGTTCAAAAAGAAAAAGTCATCGACAAGAGAAAGACATTTATTTTTATACGTTAATAATCCAGAGAAAGTTTATAAACAATTTCTGTATTTACATACATTTGTATACTCAAAATATTAGTACCTACCTATGTAAAAAATCTTGCTTACTCTGGCAATAATTTTACAATTAAATTAAATATAATTTTACTGGGTGTGATACTTTCAAGCTATAGCAATTTTCATACGAACATCGCCCTTTTAATCAGAAATTTAACGTCCCGTTTCAAGAACGGCGTGCGCATTGTTAAACTTTTTTTTCCTTTTAGTTTTCATCGCATCCCGTCACAATGCGACTCATGAGAAAGTTTGTTCTTAACCAACTCCGCACCTTGTCTTCTTACCCTAGATAATCTTTTAATTAGATTTTTTTTAATTAATCTTCACGAGGTGCTTCCGCACGACGAACCGAATCCCGATACGGGATGATCTGAGCATATAACAGCTGCCCATGTTTACAGACATCTGAGTGCCGATATCTTTCGCTACCCTTTGCTTTCCCACGATGCAACCCTTAGAGATATTTGTGCCAGTTGTTCTATTTTTACCAGAATCCTTCCGCAACTATCTTTTCATCCGCGGCTTACACCTTTAGCACAGGTCCGGAACGGTTACTTTGCATTATTTATTATATTTCCTATGGGCTTTAAACTTTATTTATATAATTTAACATTTAACCGTTCATTTTTATGTAATTTATTGTGACTTAATTTCTAAGTTGCGAATTCGAATCCAATGC